CCCCCGCATGCACCCCCATCCCCGCCAACCCCGGCACCTGAGTCGCCACCTCCGCGGCTCTAGCCCCAGGGGTCCAGTGTCCTGGGCTCGCCAGCGCCCGACGCACCACAGGAAACGCACAAAGCAACCCAGATCAGTCATGGGAAAAATAAAAAGGTTATTACTTTTTTGTTTCTTGTTTTTTTTTTTTTTGCTTTTTCAAGTCCAGCTTCCCTGAATGAACACAAATATATAGATATATAGATATATAGATATCCTTTTCCTAAGGTTTGATTCCCTCCCTTCCCCAAGAATAAAATAGAATATTTACAAAGCAACCCTCCCCAAACCCTCTTAAAAACACTAGTTTCCAAAAAAAAAAAAAAATTTCCCAAAGCAACAAGAATGAGATTTCAGTGGTCTTGGCTCAGGGGTTTCATTCAACACAAGGAGCTCAGGTGTGGTGGGCGTGAGGAATAGAAAACAAAAGAAAAATAATAAAAACCTGACAAAAATGGAAACACACAGTGCAGGGATGTATGAGGTAAACAGCATTGGCCTGACATTGCAGCTGGTCCGAACCAGACACCAGAGCCTTCCTGTCCCCAGGGCGGTGGCCCCCAGGCGACGTCTGCCTCTCTGTGTTCTGCTCTTCTTGGCTCTTCTCACAATCCATCTCTGAATGTCCGAAACCTGAGAAATTCAAGTGTTCCTTGGTTTCCCCTGTTTTATTAAATTTTCTCTCTCTCTATGTGTGTATATATATTTTCTTTTCTTTTTGGCTTCAGCTGTGGCTCCTCTGCGGATGTCGCCCCCCACCCGTATCTTCTGCCGTCCTGGCCCCTGTGTGGCCCGCCTTGACCCCCTGCCCAGGCTGGCAGGCTCCCAGGGGAGGTGGCAGGTGGAGAGGGACGTGGTTAAGGCAACGAGTTATTTGAGGTAGAAGATGTGGGGGGTGCCTGGCTGCCCGCACTGCCACCGGTCCCGCCGCTTGCTCCCCGGCCACCCGTGTTGCTGCCGCTGCTGCCACCAATGCCACCGCCTTTGCTGGGAGCTGAGGATGGTGCTGGGGCTGGCGGCTGAGCAAACAGCACTCCTAATGCAAGAACAGGAGAGACACACCACGGAGAGTTTAACACGACGATGTCACAGGAACAGGACACCCAACAGGTGCTCCCCAGGTTATAAACGTTCCAACTGGGCCTGCTTGTATGTCGCACACACCAGCACGCATGCACGCCCACACACGGCTCTTGCACGGACCCTCATCCCCGTTAAGATCCAACATGAAGGCGTATGCATTTTGCATGTAATTTCAAGGGTCCACTGACCCCCTGAAAAGTCCCTCCGTGGACCCGCAACAGGAGAAGAAGCAACAACTATGTATTTGTCAAGCACCTACTGTGCGCTCAGCACCGTGCTAAGTACGCCACACTCCTACAGGAAGACCCTTTGTCCTTAACCAACCTGTAGAGCCCCAGCTAGGGCCAAGCAGGCGGCCCCGGGGCAACCCAGGGCTGCTGAGTTCACCTGGGGAGAGAAGAGGTCGAGGTGGGCCTTGGGTGGGGGTACCTGTGTACACGATGCCGTTGATTTCCACAGACATGCTAATACTGTTGCTGCCGTTGCTGCCGGTCACGTTCACAGCTGAGTCCTGGCGGCTCTCAGAGGCTGCAGGAAGAGGACAACGTGCCACGTGTCATTGTAAATATGCCTGGGCCATGTCTTCCCCACTGGACGGGATCCCTCACGTCCATGCTGTCACCAGTGCATGCAGTAGGTGCTCAATAAATACTTGTGGAATAAGAGTGTGTCTGTGTACAGTTTGCTTTTTTAGAAGCCTTTTTAGGGCCGGCCTGTGGCTCACTCAGGAGAGTTTGGTGCTGACAACACCAAGGCCGTGGGTTCGGATCCCATATAGGGATGGCCGGTTGGCTCACTCGGGAGAGCGTGGTGCTGACAACACCAAGGCCGTGGGTTCGGATCCCATATAGGGATGGCCGGTTGGCTCACTCGGGAGAGCGTGGTGCTGACAACACCAAGTCAAGGGTTGAGATCCCCTTACCGGTCTTTTTTTTTTCTTTAGTGGGGCTGGCCGGTATGGGGATCTGAACCCTTGGAACCCTTGACCTTGGTGTTATGACACTGCACCATCAGTCTTAAGAGAAGCCAGCACACCCAAATCACCTCATTCTTTTCAATAGTGACTTGATTTATTCCTTCCCTACTGATGTCCACTCAGGTTGCTTCAAGACTTCCCTATCATAAATGATACTGTGCAAATGACCAGGATGAGCGTCCTGGTGGAGAGGCATTTCCTCATCCTAACTCACTAGCATTTCTCTGCTGTAAACACCAGGCAGAACCACTGGGTCACAGGGTGAGCACATTTTCCATTTTAAAAGGGACTGCCAAATTGTTGCCTATGTCCACTCCCACCAGCAGGACCAAGGGGACCCATTTCCCTACATCCTGGCCAACACTTGATGTTATCAAACTCTGGTGTATGACAATATCTCCTGAACTTGCAGACTCCCAACTAGATGAAGCTGGACAGTTTTTTCATATAAATTTACAAGTCACAGCTGCCTCTTTTTTCCACTGGTTGGTTTGCCTTTTTTCTTATTGATTTGTAGGCACTCTTTACATAGAATGGCTCCAAGGCCTTTATTTGGTTACACACGCAGGAAACATGGAGGGTCTGGATGCTGGGCTGGTACCTTGGCTGTTGATCCGTATGCTCATGGGCAGCTGGGCGGTCATGGCCAGGAAGTTCTGCTGCAGAGCTCGCTGCATCAGCCGCTGCTGCTCATCAGCTACCAGGGCCATCTTCTTCTCCGGAGGCTCCCCAGACTCCAGCTTCTCCCGAAGCTGCTCCAGGGCAGCTGCCTGGGCGGCCACTGCTTGTACGGCCGCTGCCTGGGCAGCCACCACAGGGTGGCCCGCCAGGGAGACGGGCAGGCGGCCAGGGACCGTGATGGGGATGGCTGAGTCCTCCTCTAGACAGGAGAGAAGAGGAGTCAGTGTCCAGAAGAGACCCATGGGGGCCGGCCCGTGGCTCACTCGGGAGACTATGGTGCTGATAACACCAAGGCCATGGGTTCGGATCCCGTATAGGGCCGGCCCGTGGCTCAATTAGGAGAGCGTGGTGCTGACAACACCAAGTCAAGGGTTAAGATCCTCTTACTGGTCATCTTTATAAAAAAAAAATTAAAAAAAAATAAAAAGCACAGCAGGAACAGGAACCTTCTGGAATACCTCTACTGATGGGGTGCTTCCTTTCTATCCAAGGAAGCAGATTTTAGATTTTTGAATAGACACAAGCACCGTAAAACCCTTTCTAATTGCAGGCTGACTAAAGGTCATGACGGTAATGTTACGAATACTAACAATACTAGTTATAATAATATAGCAGCATTTAGCACTGGTATTACAGAGAGACTATAACAGTACACAACAACATACGAGTTATAACAAGAGCTCGCACATGTCACGGCTAAGCCTTCAACATGAATCGCCTCGACAGACCCTCTCGACAACCCCATATCTACACAGACAGTCTTATTATCCCCATTTTACAGACAAGGCAACCCAGGCTCAGAGAGGATGGGTGACTTCCGCAAAGCCACAGAGCTGGTGAGAGGTGGAGCTGGGATTCAAACCTGGAACTCCCCAACCCCAGAAGCAGCGCCTGACCATCCCCCTCCCCTGCGGGTGGATCAAACGTCCTCGCTGCTCCCGCCACTGGCTCCACTGTGACCCGCTGTACCTTCTTCTCCCCGACTTCTTCCTCCCATGTCTACATCTGACGCTGCCTCTACTTGCTGGGTCCCCAATCCAGATGTCTGCAGTCGCTGTGCCCTCTGCCTCCACAGTTTTTGAGTTTTGAAACCTCTTCGGTCTCAGCCCAGATGCCACCTTCTCAGGAGCCCCCTTGCACCCCCATCATCCCTCAACTGGCCTCCCCATCTCTGGGTCCTGTCCCTGCTACCATAATATAGCTGCAGACTCACAAGCACTGCCGGGTCAGAGCCTTCTCTGCTGTGTTCACCCCAGCCTTGCAATGGGTGCTTAATCACCATTGATGGGTATTGCTGGGACTCCCCAAGGCTGGGAGGGCTGACCCCATTCACCTTAGATCTGACCAGTCCTTAATTTCCAGGGCACTGTAGGGGTCCTATCAGATCCACAAGCCAACCATTGGAAGTGGAGTCACCAGCCCTTGTGGCAGATGAGAAATGGGAACTCGGGCCAGCTGAGGCCACACTGCTGCATGTGAAACTGGTGCTTCTGTGTTACGAAGGATTCTGAGGCCAAGTGGGAGAGAAAACCATCATTGAGGGGTAATGTCTGCCACACACGGGGAGCTCAGTCTGCAAACCTGGCCCGTGGCATGCCAGGACCTTCACACACTGAATGCTCCCCAATAACTCTACAGAGGAGTAATTTCCCCCACTCTACGCATAAGGAAAGCCAGGCTCAGAAGGGGGCAAAGCTTTGCCCGGGGGCACCTAGCAATAACTTCAGGGATGGCAGGGGTCAATTTGATAGACCCACACTGCACTCTCCACGTCTCTGATAGGACATTGTGCTGAGAAGGATTTTAAAGCTCAAAGAGAAAGTGTGTGATTAACTAGTCATGTTTGCCATGGCAAGGGACTGGAAAAACTACAGTGATTAATAGCATCAGCCACAGGCAAAAGACTGGACCCATGATTCTAGAGTTGGGGCTTCTGGGTTCAAATCCCAGCTCAACCTCTTGCCAGATCTGTGGCTTTGCAGAAGTCACCCATCCTCTCAATAATTGATTAGCAATGCCTGGGTTAGGAGAGAGTGCAGCAGCACTCAATTAATAATGTCTGCCTCCAGTGGGCAGAAAAGCAGTGATCAATTAGTACTGTCTGCCCTAGCACAGAACTAGAGAAAGCAAGTTGATCAGTAATGTCTGCCTGCCAGGGGCACAGGATTGGCAAAATGGTTGATTGGTGATGTCTGCCACGGGCACAGTTCTGGACAATTAGAAGTGTTTCCGTGCCAAATGCTTTTTTTTCTCCTCTTGTTTTTTTCTTTCCGTGCCAACTTTGGGGTTTATCCTCCTGGTTATCCAGACACAGGAAAAGGTATCCCCCCAAGATCATGCAGCCAAGCTGGGCTCCAGCCCCAGGCAGCTCCTTACCTTTCTTGATCTTAGGGGCTGGGGTGATGGAGCTGCCGTTGGTGCTGGTGGCCAGGCCCAAGGAAGACACAGGCAGCTTGGGTGAGGAGAGCATGCCATGGGCCCCACCCGGCGAGTAGGCAAACAGAGAGCCCCCAAAGCTCTGGCGCCGGCCCTCCCGCCGGTTACTGTCGATGGCTGCCTGGAGCTCGTTGGGGTTACTGAGACCTCGCTTCTCACACTCATAGGGGTACAGGTACTTCATGTATCTGTGAGCAGCGGCAAGGGGGACAGATTGGCACCAGGAATCCCCCCGGGTCTCCCCATGGCCCTTGGCATAAAGTACAACCCCAGGGTGGCTCCAGCATTCCCACCTCCTGCCCTGGTCTCACTTGGTAGGCCCCAGAGCCACTGGGCCTTAGGCCACACTGTTCCTTCCCTCTGTCCTAATGCCCTTCCCCACAGCCACCTCCACTGAGCCTTCAATACTCAGATCACGTAAGCTCAGAGCCTGATGGTCCTGCCACTCCCACCTGCCAACCCCCACGCTCAGACTCCTCACATGCCCCAGTGCCCTCTGTGGCTGCCCCCTCCCGGCCGCCCTGTTTCTCTCGCCGCAGGCCCTTTGCACAGCTCCTCTCTCTGCTCAGAGTGCCCCATGCCCGGCCTGGCATGGCCACTCACTGGGTGCGCAGGGTGAAGGCAGCGCTGGTGATGGACGTGGGCAGGTTGAGGCCCTTGGTGATCTCACGCCACAGCTTCTTGTTGATGACCTCCACGAGTCCGCCCTTCTCCGTCACCAGCACGTACAGCATGAACAGGTCGAGCACCTGCTTGGCCATGATGGGGATGCGGTTCACAGGTGTCCCTGCAGGGAAGGGGTGGTGCCAGCATGAGGTCGGGGGGGTGCTGTTGGCGGGCGGCTGGGGCCAGACAGCAGCAGACACTGAGTCTGTGGTTGGCGCAGTGGCCCAGAGCAGGGTCTCCCCTGTCACTGTGGACACTGGGGCTGGATCCTTCTCTGTGATGGGGCGTCCTGGGCACTGCAGGTGCTTAGCAGCGTCCCTGGCCTCCACCCACTCCATGCCAGGAGCTCCCCCCGCTCATGACAGCCATAAATGTCCCCAGACATCACCTAGTGTCCCCAGGGAGGCAGAGCCACCCCTGGGTGAGAACCACAGCTCGAGAAAGCACCCAGGAGGCAGCTCTGCCTCAGTCTATCCATCAGTAACCTGGGCTCATGGACAGTGCAGGTCTCATAGTGGGGGGCGGTTTATAAAGAGGAGGCAACCACGGTGGCCAACCTGGGGGACGTGCAGGAGACACAAGGGCCTTAGTTATTCCTACTGCATGTCGGCAACACAGCAGCTGCCAAAACAACCCTGCCTGCATTGTTTCCAGGGCTTTGCAGTCTTGGGTGGGGGTGGGGAGGGCTTGGTTAACCTGATTTGAAGTTTAGGGAATGAAAACTGGTGGGCTAGCGCAGGGAGCAGTGAGGAGGGCGGTGGGCTAGCCTGGGGAGGGGAGGAGAGGGTGGTGGGCTAGCCTGAGGAGGGGAGGGGAGGGTGGTGGGCTAGCC